CACGGCTCGGGTTGCGCAACAACACCCGTGCCTCGCTTGCGATATCGACGACCTTTCATGTCCCTTAAGTACGGGAGAACGGTACCATAGGCGGCCGCATAGTTAAACTAGTACCACCGTGAACCCTCCCGAGCTGCATTATGCAATTCGGAACTCCTTCGACGCGGCGCGACACGCGCAAGCTCTGCCCGGAGGCCAGAGTTCAAGCCAGGGGGTCAATCATGGATCTTTCCTCCTGCGAACTCGTGAAAAGTGAAAAGAATTCATCTTGAAAATATATGAAAATGTCTACACTGGAGGAAAAGATATTCATTATCGCCCCCAAATATTACAAGATTATTCTCTTTTCATGACTTTATACTAGGAAAAAAGAATTACATGACTGATAAGCAAGATCGAGTTCACGTAACAAGATTCACGATTGATGCCCAGAATTATCACACCGTTCACCATTTGTAAGGAGGAAATGAGCGAGCGAATGAGTGAGTGAGTGAGAAGCGTACTTCGTCATTTAAGTTTTAGAGCTTTTTTCTCGTTTTTAGTAGAGTTTCTTTCTCACTTCCACTGACATAGTTCTTAAAAATGACGGACAGAATGTGAAACAGTCAGAAGTCATCATGTTTTGTTCTAACTCCGACTAGAGGGATTCAACCGGCGATAATTGCCGAAATTCGCGTCCACGAGGTCCACGTTGCAGTCAAACATTACACAACGCATTTTCTCCGTGCATTATGCTCACGGTTAAGGAAAACTTGGCATTATATAACAATGTGTATTTATAATCAGGGTAGGGAAGGTAAAGAAAAGAATGAAAGGGCACGACGGATTTCTGTCGATTTAATTCGCCTCGCGAAAATGCTCCTCGCGCTCCTACGATCGCCGCGCCGCGTTCTATACCGTCGACTCCGACGCTATGTACAATAAATAGCGAACTTTTACCGTAATAAATATCAACGACCGTTATAACTCCGTAGGCGGCGGGAAAAAAAGCCGAACGTCGAGCGTTCCCTACGTACTTTATGCACACTATCGATAAATCGAAGAACAGAAATATCCCCGCGAATGACTTCGCGTGTAATATATTATCCTTTAACTTTCCTCACGTGTAACGACACAATGTAACGCACAGGGGAGGGGG